TTAGTAGAGACGGGGTTTCACCATGTTGACCAGGATGGTCTCGATCTCTTGACCTTGTGATCCACCCGCCTCGGCCTCCCAAAGTGCTGGGATTACAGGCTTGAGCCACCGCGCCTGGCCACTTAGCCCTTCTTTTCTGTGATTCACTGACCCACTGCTGCCTCCTGATGCTTGTGAATATAGTGCAAGCAAATATGCATGTATACCTTATCCAGGGAGTGTGTAGTTCACATGAAATCCAATCAGTACTCCATTTCATAACTGGAAGGAAGTCTCATCCTCTCCTCATCCCACACCCCTCCAACCACCACCCTTGATAGATGATGGATCTCTGTTCTAATAATCTGTTCAAGTTTCTTAGTTGTAGGTGTCTCCATTTCTTTATAAAATGAAGCCATTCAACATCTTAAGTATAAGGTTTAGTGCAATGAAATAGGGTAAGTTCTTAAAATAAAAGTTAATGTTCCAATATAACATCTGCTTTTTCTTTCCTGCAGCAAACCAGGAGGAAGCTAGATGATGCCAGCAAACGTTTGGAGCTTCTGTATGATAAACTTAGGGAACAGACAGTAAGTTTTGGAGGAAAAGGATTTATGATAATCATTTATTCCTAGTTACTAGTAAAACAGGTGTCTTAGCACTCTCATTTAGTATGCTTGGGGCAAAGTTGTCATGACAGTTAGAGAATCGGCTTTGCTGTGTCTGAATCATAAATTCCACTCATTGGGGATAAGGGTATATGGCTGTGTGTGTGGGTGTGGGTTTGGGTGTGTGGAGTGAGAGATAAATTTTAACCTTTCTTATAGCAGAGTATATATACAAACTGGCCTGTGATGACCATAAGGTAACTGACCTTCTGCTGTTCCTTTAACATGGCCCAATATTAAGAAATCAAAGAGTAGGCAGATACTCTGTTTTCCAGGGACTAAATCTATAATCTTTCTCATAGTCTAAGATTCTTGATCCTTTTATTTTAGGATACCATTATACAAAAGCAAAGCCAAATGTAGCCACAAGATGAGCAGGGTAATATATTGCAACCGTGAAGACAGCCAGGAGAAAGGAGTCAGTTCACTATGTTTGTTCTCTTATCCCCACCTCACGATTTCCTCTCTAAAGTTGTCTTGTTTTGTTAATGTAGACACTAGGAGAGGAAAAAAGAAGTGGGACTTTGTTTTTATTGTTTCCATTTCAGCATTCCTCTACCCCATTCCCCACACCCAGTTCCATCAGATGAAAATAACCATTTTTCCAATGAGAACCAAACTAAAGAAAATTGATACTACAGTGGAAGTAGTGTGGTCCTTGGACTGATCCAAAGTAAAGTCTTCTCGCTGGGCACAGTGGGACACGCCTGTAATCCCAGCTACTCAGGAGGCTGATGTGGGAGGATCACTGGAGCTCAGGAGTTTGAGACCAGCCTAGGAAACATAGCAAGACCCCATCTCCCAAAAAAAAAGATACAATTAGCAAATACATCTAGGTGAATGTATATTAAAACTTTTTAAAATGAGATCAAAATAGGCCAGGCACAGTGGCTCACACCTGTAATCCCAGCACTTTGGGAGGCTGAGGTGGGCAGATCACCTGAAGTCAGGAGTTTGAGTCCAGCCTCTTGGCGAAACTGTGTCTCTACTAAAAATACAAAAATTAGCTGGGCATGGTGGCTCATACCTGTAGATCCAGCTACTCAGCAGGCCGGAGAATCGCTTGAACTTGGGAGGCAGAGGTTTCAGTGAGCTGAGATTGTGCCACTGCACTTCAGCCCAGGTGACAGAGCAAGACTTCATCTCAAAAAATAAAATAAATCAAAATAAAATCTTCTGTAAAGTATGGACACCTATGCCAAGTGATGATATAGCAAAAAACTACAGGTTTTATAGTTTTAAGAGATGACACGATTATAAAAAGCAGTTACGGTTAGTAAATTTGGGCCCTTATTTTGAAATATTATGATTAAGAATCTTTAATCTTCTTTATGTGCATAGGAGACTTTTTTAAATGTCTTAGGCTCTCTTAAGTGGAGAGAGACATTAGCATTTTAGCTTGGAAAGGAAATCGGCTGCTTTTCTATAAGAAAATACCTGGCTTATACATGTATAATTCATAAGTAACTTCTTTGTGTAAATCATTTTGTCATGGTTCTACCTGATAACTGTTGCTTGGTTCAAGAAACTATTACTAGAAATGCTAAATGATTTATACATTCTTATAATGTTTGTTTCAAATTCTACCTACATATCTGAGTTTAATGTTTGTGGAGGATCTCATGGGAAATTCTCTCTTAATTTAATTCTTTCTCTTGGTTCTATCTTTGTTTCAGCTTTCACCAACAATCACCAGTGGTTTACACAACATTGCAAGGAGCATTGAAACTCGAAACTACTCGGAAGGATTGACCATGCATACCCACATAGTTAGCACCAGCAACTTCAGTGAGACCTCTGCTTTCATGCCAGTTCTCAAAGTTGTTCTCACCCAGGCCAATAAGCTGGGTGTCTAAAAAGACAGCTTCTCTTCCACTCAATATTGCCATTTTCCAAAGAAACATGTTAAAGAAAAAAAATTATAAGACATGGACCAGTCCTTATTAGCATGTTTCATAGCAACCAGTCAAGAGCATTTACACTATTTCTGCAGATATACTTACCTTAGAACTGCTCAGAACCCTGGTGCTTTATTTTTGTTTTAATCTTTTGTTGCCAGTGATGATTTTCCTATTCTGCAAATAGTGTATTTCCTGGATTACACATAGTATGGTTTCCGGAAGTATTCTGATAAATGTGTTTTCTAAAACCTCAATATACTTTTTAGAAAAGGAGCATCTGGTTATGCATAAAGCAGAGCTAAAACTAAATTTCTTTCTTGTCCTCCCTACTTCCTCCATGTCAATCAGATTAAAGTGTGTAATCCTACTTTATGTCTAGATAGTCTTTTTTTAAATAGCTCCTTACAATTTAGTTTATGTTTTGTGTCTTCAGCTTCACTCTATTCCTGAGTAAATAACTACATCTGCAAGCTGCTGCATGGGTTTTAACAGATACTAATAAAAATGGGCTCACTGGCTTTGAGTATATACAAAAGACTGGATATTTTTATTCTGTAGAATGCATTGAGCTTTTTCTATTTGTAAATGTTTTAAATATTCTGTTTGAGTTTTAAAACTAAATTGTGTTCATTTTATAGCTAGAAATTTTTTCACCTATCTTTGTTTAAATTTTAGCTTTGAGGTTTAAGCTCAGAAAGAAAACTTTAATTTCAGTCAGCCTCCTGAATCAAAGCCACACATTTTGCACCAGTTTTCCTGTCAAGTGATTTTATTATCATTTGTCTTAAGAATAGTGTGGTAAACAAAAAAAAATGGTCCCTGTGGAATCTGGAGATTATAATTTTCATAGTTCATGATAATTTCATAGTTTATGCAATAGTCCTTAAAAGGGTTACAAAGCTAGAAAATAAACACTGTGGAATAAGTTATGTCAATTTTCTTCAGCCTGAGTGAAATAGTTTGCAAGAACCTCTTAATTCTATTTGCCAAGATTCCCTACTCAATAAATAAATGCTGCATTTAAAAAATTATCCAGGCTGGGTGCAGGGGCTCATACCTGTAATCCCAGCACTTTGGAAGGAGAGGCAAGAGGATCACTTGAGCCCAGGAGTTCAAGACTAGCCTGGGCAACATGGTGATACCATGTCTCTACTAAAAATAAAAACAATTAGCCCGATGTGATGGTGCTTGCCTGTGGTCCCAGCTACTTGGAGGCTGAGGCAGGAGGCTCCTTTGTGCTGCAGAGGTCAAGGCTGCAGTAAACTGATTGTGCCACTTCACTCCAGCCTGGGTGAAGAGACCCCATCTCAAAAAAGAAAAAAAACAAACTCAGTTTTATAGCTCAGAATAGTTTTGTGACTTAAAAAAAAGAGTATTTTAATAGCATGTACATATGTGAAAGTCTCAGGAATGGACTATCTAGACTTATAAATGTATATATCGTCACCTACCTCATTAGTTTACTATGCGTTTGATAATGTGAGTCAGTTCCACTACTCAGTGAAGTGACAACTTGACACTCTGGATTTGACCTGGAACAGTAGTTTCAGCCCACCCAAGATTCCATCTGCAGAGTGGTCTGGCTTCAAGTTTTTTTGTTTTGTTTTGTGTTTTTGAGATGGAGTCTTGCTCTGTCACCCAGGCTGGAGTGCAGTGTCGTGATCTCAGCTCACTGCAACCTCCACCTCCTGGGTTCAAGCAATTCTCCTGCCTCAGCCTCCTGAATAGTTGGAACTACAGTTGCGTGCCACCATGCCTGACTAATTTTTTGTATTTTTAGTAGAGACAGGGTTTCACTGTGTTAGCCAGGATGGTCTTGAGTTCCTGACCTTGTGATCCACCCACCACAGCCTCCCAAAGTGTTGGGATTACAGGCATGAGCCACAGCGCTCAGCCTCAAGTATTTTTTTTTTAATTCTGCTGTTATAGTTAGAATTTGTTTTGTGGTTGTATGTTTATCCTGACATGACAGTGGCACATTTGGCATCATTCTACCAAAAAAAAAAAAAAAAAAAACTAGTTTCCAAAACATGAGAAGCAAGATAAGGTGGCAGTGGAGTCCTAGCCAACACCAAAGATTTATTTAAGAGTTATGAGTGTGCCGGGCGCGGTGGCTCACGCCTATAATCCCAGCACTTTGGGAGGCCGACGCGGGTGGATCACAAGGTCAAGAGATCGAGACCATCCTGGTCAACATAGTGAAACCCTGTCTGTACTAAAACTACAAAAAATTAGCTGGGCATGGTAGCGCGTGCCTGTAATCCCAGCCACTCAGGAGGCTGAGGCAGGAGAATTGCCTGAACCTAGGAGGCGGAGGTTGCGGTGAGCCGAGATCGCGCCATTGCACTCCAGCCTGGGTAACAAGAGTGAAACTCTGTCAAAAAAAAAAAAAAAAAAAGAGTATGAGTGTATAAAACTACTTGCCACTGGTAGAGCATCTCTTCTTTCCTTTTTCAGCACATTGTGGTATTTTTTTTCTACTTGCAGCTATTTCTCTATGTGGCTTATAATCTTGGAAAAGTTTCATATAAATGAAGTAAGATGAGCCAAACCCAAATTGCTTTTGTCTCTGAAGTATGAAGATAATAGGCAATTAGAGAAAGAAAGTAGTTTTTCTTCAGAGAAAAACAACTTTTAAGTTGTTTTCTTTTTTAAAAAATGGAGAAAAGTGTCGATTTTGTAAATAATTCTATCTCTAATGTTTTCAACATGGATGACATTACGGTATATGCCTGCACAAGTCAGGAACCTCTGTTTAAGGCTATTCTTACATAAAGATTTCGTGGCTCATACAACTCGTTGTGACATTTTGGAAAGTTAGAGCTGTATTTTCTTCCCTTGTCATTACTTTGTATATAGTGACCAGTCATGCTTTCTGAGTCCCAGTTCTGTTCAATTTACTTTTTATGTTTTGTGCTTTTTTTTTAAAACCTACTTAATTTTAAAACAAGGGAAGGAATATGAGGTAAGCAAGTGGGTGAGGCCAGGTGTTGGCCAGGAAATGTATCAGAGTCTCTGGAGGTGGTGCTTTTTATATTACTTCTGGCCCTCTTCTCCCTTCTTTATACCAGCCTTAGGGTTTGGTGAGATGGATGTACCCTTAGGCTGCCCTTGAGAATAAGTATAATCAGAGATACAGTCAATGGAGGTAGTTATTCATTTGAACAGTGTGGGGCAGGAAAAAGTTGGTGACAGAACTGCTCTATATCCAACTGTTGAGAGTCCAGTGAGCCTATGTATTCTTTGGATTCAGAAAATGTTCACATATCCTGGAGGATAGGAAGATGCCATGGGACCCCTGGTGATCAGATGTGCTTCGATGGCTCATGCCTGTAATCACAACACTTTGTGAGGCCAAGACAGGAGGATCGCTTGAGCCCAGGAGTTCAAGACCAGTTTGTGCAACATAGTGAAACCCCATCACTAGAAAATGATTTTTTTTTTTCATTAGCCAGGTGTGGTGGCACATGCCTGTAGTTCCAGCTACTCAGGAAGCTGAGGGGGAGGATCACTTGCGCTTAGGAGGTGGAGGCTGCAGTGAGCTGTGATCGCACCACTGCACTCCAGCCTGGGCGACAGAGACCCTCTCTCAAAAACAGTGGGGATGAGGGAGGGATGATGACTGGTTAGCACATTTTTGATAACCAGTTAACTCCTGGCCATATTTGGATTCACCTAAGAGTGACTGTGAAGCCATTTGTTGACACCTCTGCCACAGCAGAGACTTCATTTGGAATCGTCATGAAGTTTCAGCCAATAGTGTATGCACATGTAGACACACACACACACTGCCTCCCACCCCTTGGTTTGGTTCTTCCATTGCCGTGGTAGCAGCATCCCCAAGTATAACCTCTGATTAATCTGCAGGGGTATTCATCACATGCTGAAGATGTCAGCATCTTCAAATAATTGTATAAATAAGCATAAGAGGGACTGTGCACAGACACTCAACTATTTGATCTATGGATAAACGTCCCAAATCTTTTAAACAAATGTAGATTACAGAGAAAAAGCAAATTAGTTTTCCACTTTTTCTGGTACATTGTTTCATCAGTTTTAACAGGCCTTTAGGTACTGCTGCTGATTGAAAAGATCTGTCATTTACTTGAGCTGGGCACTGAATCAAGTATTTGGATCTCTCTCAATCTTCACATCAGCCCAGGGCGCTAAGTAATTACATTTGCCAAGCACAGCTGGTAAGCAGTGGAAAATGGATTCCAACCTAAGTCTCAGCCTAGTGAGCCCATCTTTTTCCCACAAAACAAGGTTTTCCTCAAAGCAAAGAACACTGCTACTGTATAACAAAAACCTGAGTTTTGATTTTGATTTTGCTCCCCCGCCCCACCTCCCCATTGGTCTGCAGAGACCTCGCTTCTTCCATAAAAAGCGGAATATAGTCATTATAACGAGTAACATTAATTGAGCATGGTGTGTTGGCATCTTTTCAAGCAGGTTCTCTTTACGTGGTGAGAAAGATAACCCCTGTCAGCACAAAGCCTACATCTCCACTACTTGTGATATACAAAGGGAAGAGAGACCCTCTCACAGTATCTATATATTGTTCATAAAGACAACTGGCTTCATTTGGGTCTCATGCCCACTATCTGATCAAGGCCTGTTCCCGGGAGGTGGAGTGCCAGAACTGGCTGATCCGGATAGTACACCCACCCTAGTGTGAGCCCAGCGATTTTAAGCCCTACCAGAACCACATGGAGTGATTCCTCAAGAAAGGGTGCAGTGTAGAGAAAAAGGGAGAAAATAGGACTGAACAACCACATACCTCCTTGTAGGTCACACCAGGGAAGAGTTACAGAACCAGGGTTCTAGACTGTAGGGGAGCCTTGGGTGGTAGCAATCAAAAGCTACTAGGGAGCTCACTTTATCCTCACTGCTGGAAGTAGTGTCTCCATGACACCTGGAAGTCAAGGAGGTGGGTGCTAGTGCCTTCTCTGCCACCTACTGTTAGCCAAATCATGTCACCACCTTCTGCCTCTGTTTCCCAAACTGTAACATGAGGGAGTAGGACTAGATTTCTAACTTCATTTCCAGCTTCATTTCCAGTGAAAGTCTATGATACATCCGCCTTTCCACAGTGTGTCTATTACCTACAAGTCTTCAGAAGGGAGTAAAAAATGTTGGTAAGCACCAAAGCTTTTAAGAAAGGAGAGAAACAGGCCTTTTTCTATTTGGATAACTTCTTTCCTCTTGTAGAGTTAATCTGATTTCCATTCTGGAGAAAAATCAATTCTGCATCTCCCTTGGTTGGAAATTAATGGCCAAGCATTAAAGCGACAGTTTGTAATTTGAGGACTTGGGATAAACATTTGCCTGGCCTTGATGTCATCAAGTGATGACTTCTCATTAAGG